CAGTACTCATGTACTGAAGATGTTTGGTATTGAGAAGTTGTCTCAATTAAGTTCAATAATGAACCAGGAACTGAGTATTGACTTAGTTCTGCAATTTCTGTCTGAGAGTTATTCATACTAATTATGAATTATGATATGAATAAGCTCGAACCCACACTCATTGAGTTGCTTAACATACTTAAAATTTTTATGCCCATTATCAAAGTTGCAAGTGGGCAAGCCATTAATTCCTCTAGGGATATTGAGAGGAAATCTAAAGGGGTTTTGGGAAAGTGTCCAATATGGCTAAAATCGTCAAAGTGAAGGAAATACCAAATCTAATAACCCTTAGTTTCATTGTAGAATGAAAAAGTCAATGGAAGAAATATTGCAAGACTTATATCTACTTCATGAGTTTCATAGGTATTCAATGTTAGATGTGGATCTCATATTTATACAAATATGAAGAAACTAAATAGAAGTAGACCACTCCAAAATGGAAAAGTTGACCTGCACATTGAAGATGAGCAAAGGTTGCTATATTGTCTGTAGGAGTATACTTCTTACAATTGCCTTTAGGCTTAGTATTGGAATTAGAGAAATGTAACTTTATACCAACCATAACCAAAACATTAAATGAATTTCATGTTTGGACATGAACTATTTTAATGTTAAGAACAATTATTGTTCATGCTTATCTTGATTAAGGTCTTTATGGTATGGTAAGCTACAAATAACATTTATGTTCTAAATATTAAGCATTCTATAATGAGTATAGAAGTTAAAAGGCATAAAAGTGATAATTTAAATAATACCTAAATCTAGCATTGCAGACTTGGTCATATAGATAAAATGCAATTCCAATATTACATAGAGATGTATATGTGGAGTCAATTGATTTTGAATCATTTGACAAGTACAAATCATCTCTATCAAGCACAATGACCAAATCTCCTTTTATTTGAAAGGGAGAAATATCCTGCATGATTACTGGTCTAATACATAGTGATGTATGTAGACCCATGTCGGTTAATGCTAGATAAGATTTCTCTTATTTCATCACATTTATTAATGACTATTTCGAAAATGGCCATGTATGTTAGATGAAATTCGAGCATGAGCTCTTGAAAGGTTTGAAGGATTTAAACCAGAAGTAAATAAACAAATAGGTAAAGATATCCTCTCATCAAGATCCGATCGAGATGGGAATATCTTAAAAATGAAATTCTAGATTATTTAAGAGAGAATGCGATTTTCTTGCAGTGGACTCCTCCACATACACTGCAACATAACAGTGTATTCGAAAGAAGGAATCGTAAACTATTAGATATACTGCGATTAATAACAAGTCATGCAAATCTTCCAAATCTGTTTTGGGGTCATGCACTGATTGTAGTGTGCTGCACACTAAATCATGTCCCATCTAAATTGGTTAACAGAACTCCATACGAGTTATGGAAAGGTAATAGTCCCAATTTATCTCATATGAAAGTTTGGGACTATGACGCTTATTTGAAACACATTGAATCGGATAAGTTTAAGACTAAATTCGATAAATACATATTTGTGGGATATCCAAAATAGATATTTGGATATCAATTCTATTAACCCATTGAGAAGAAAGTCTTCTTCTCACGACATATTGCCCTCTTAGAGAAAAATGTTTACTTTAGTAGAGGATAGTGGGAGTAAAATAGAACTTGAAAGAGTTCAAGAGTCCACAGATATAGTTAACCAAGTAGACAAATCCGAGTTTGATCCCATATCTGATATGGGACATACTATTGATCAGGGAATATAGACTCCTAAGGACGTGTCAGCTTTATATGAATCTAGTAGGATCATTCGACCTTCAAGAATGTTCGAATCCATGATTACTAATCAGACATTGCTGATCCAGGATGATGAACCTACTAATTGTACAAAAACAAAGTCAAATGTTGACTTAAAAGAGATAGCAAGAGGTCATGAAATCCAAGATGAACTCGACGTATGTAAATAAGGCTGAGACCTTGGTCAACCCTCCTAATGGGATAAAACCCATATGTTGTAAATTGTTTACAAGGAAAAGGTTGATATGAATGGGAATATCCATATATACAAAGCAAGGCTAATAACGGGTTAAGTGTTGACACTGGTGAAACCTTTCTCCTGTAGTCTTGCTGAAGTCCATTCGGGTTTTGGTTGCAATAGGTGCATACCATGACTATGGGTTAAAACAAGTCTCTTGGAGCTCAAATCTTCAATTTGATGAAAAATCAAAATGTTTGATCTTATCGAATATGAAGACGAATTGTGTGTTTACAAGAAGATAGTGGGAACATTGTCGCATTCCTAATATTGAGAAGATTTTATATTGAGAAACTAGTTTACTCTTAAGCGGTATGTTGGAAAGGTTCCAAACATGAAATAACAGTTGGTTCAATGGCAGAAACCTAATACATGATTGCTTCAGAAGCAACAAAGAGTTGTAATGTGGATCAAGATGTTCATTAATGAACTTGGGATAGTTCCTAACATTGTCGATCGCATTGCATTGTATTGTGATAACAATAGTGTCATCGCACAAGTGAAGAAGCTAAGGTCTCATCAATGATCCAAATATGTATTAAAGCGATATAATCTCATCAAAGAGATAATACATAAAATGATGTAAAGAGAAAGACGAATTTTCACAATTAATTGCAGATCCACTGACAAAGAGTTATCGTAGTACAAACATGATTGTCATGTAGACTCTTATGATATTAGATACATAAGTGATTGGATCTAGTCCAAGTGGAAATTTGTAAGTGTTATGGCCTAGGTCCAATCGACTTTGGACATAAACGCCTTTTAGTTAATGCAATTTTATGGCAGATCTATTATTTAGTTAATATTCAATTAAATTAAATAATGGAGTCCGTAGATTCAAACCTTAATAATTTGTTAATCACAAGGAGTTGTGATTGTAAGATACAAATTATATATGATTGAATCTTAAATCGTCTGTGGTCATAAGTAATAACGAGATACGGATATCATTATTATGGATAGACCATCACATGTGGTATTCCTTATTTGTGAAATAAGTAGCTGATCTCACAAATTAAAGTTTGGTGACACTTGAATGAACATGTGGATGTTTTGTTATAGAACAAAACATTGGAGACTCGCCGAGAGATTCCACATGGATAACTATCTAAGTGTCAGTGGTTAATTTCTAACATTCGGTAATGGAATTGGTCCTTTCACTTGAGGTCGTCATAGTACCTTATATGAGGAAAGTCATACTTTGACGGTGTTAGATGTTCCTCTGCCAAGTGCCACTAATACGACATTGCTCGGGTATGTCAAGAATCGTATAAAGGTTGGGAATGACCAATAGAGGATTCGTCACTCTTAAATAGTAGAAGATTATGATATGTATTTCATTCAATTAAGTCGATAATGAAATTCTTGGCCAAGATGTACTCATAAATTGAAAATGAGTTTTTGACTTATATTGATTTAATAGTAGAGTGAAAGATGTGATCGATAATCTAGATTGATACACTTTCATATCTTGTAATTGATCGGATCATATTAATGAAGGGATTATAGTTTCACGATAAATAAACGAGTTTGATTTTGTCATACCATGGAACATTTCCCGTCACATGTATTGTCCTAACGCATTACTACATATCAATTTGGGACAGTGAGTGTAAATTGGTGATAAATTAAAAGGGTATTTTAATTTATCATTTTGATTAGATCAAAATAATATTTCACGTCTTTAGGCATCGTGATCGGGAATCTGATGGGTCGCACACAAAAGGAGAACTGGAATATTATGATTTGTCAATTAATTAATTTAACAAGCGTTGTATAAATTAATTAATTGGATTGCTACTTATAGGCCCGAATTAATTAATTGGATATTAATTCACTGATCACATTTAATTAAATGGGTTAATCAAATATTGGACCGGGTCAGACCAAGCCCGTTTGGACTTATACAAATACGTGATTAGGATTTACAATTTTGTTGAAAAATTCATTATTCTAGCTAGTACAAGATGAAAACTCTAATCTTACAATCTTGTTCTCTGTGTGGATCACTGTTGAAGATTGGATAATTGGACAATTGTGGGTGGCAAATCAAGACCGTTGGAATGAAAGTATAGCGAAGGAGTTTGTAGATCTCGCAAAATGTATGACTTTTATCACAATTTCCATCTAAACACAAAAGCGATTCCTAGTTAAAATTGAAAATTGTTTTATTTTCCACTATGCATAATAAGTAGATTTCCAATATATCGTCCCGTCAAATATATTTCACAAAATTCACATCGACCTTATGAACAAGGATCTCTCAAGATTTACATCATCCACAATAGTTTAGTATGTTAAAGATTGGACCATGCAAAGTTACTTAACCACACGTCTCTACTTTTCCGTGTAAGCCAGTGATGAATGGAGAGGTCTCTATTTTCTCCCCCACTCAAAAATGTGGTTCACCTGCAAAAGCTCATTCCTCCTCGTTAGTCACACGTTAACTAACTCTAACACAAATTTTCATTTCTTTTAAACTTTGTATTTCACCTTTTGTTATCATTTTCAACGAGTAGTTTGCCTACTACTAGAAAAATAAGCTAATCATCAATCCAGTCCATAAGTAGTGCAACGTTAGCTTAAATTTTTTGTCCTTTTTACTCTTTTCTGCAAACAAATTAATGAAATTTTATCAGTATCAATAATGTCACTTATGCAAAATGCTGGCCTCCCTTATTGGGAAGATTTATACAATTATTCAGACCGAGAAAGAAGGATTTTTTTGGCATTAATCCTTCACAAAATGTGAGCTTATGTTCTCCAAGAATCAATGGTTGAAGTCAGGGACGGATCCAGGATTGGATCCAAGATCAGGCTATAAAATTTCAAACCGAGCTGCTACGTGGAAAAAAAAATTTACACATAAAAAATTGATTTTTTACCAAAAAAAAAAAATACCTTTCAAAAAAATTTGTTGGTCCTGAGAGCTGCCCCCCCCCCCCAACCCCACCACAAAATCCGTCCCTGGTTGAAGTAGCAGAAGAAGCTTGAAGGTGAGTGCAAATATAAGAGGTTACAAAAAGGTCGAATCGATAAACGGGAAGGAAGTGAATGGGATTCATGTTGAGGAGATGCCATTTTTAGGCCAAAGAAACGCTGATTTAATCAAAGATACCATCATAGAAGAACCAACTCATGAATACCTTCTTGGCAGGTTTATTGAGGATAGGTTTGTTTACACTCAGTGTTCACGTTTTTTTTTTTTTTTTTTTTTTTTGAATCCCGAAGAAGAATGACTCGTGTAGCTGACCCTCAATTTATTGATAAAGAGTGAAGTTTTTAGTTGTTCTAATGCAATAAATTTACATGCCAATATTGGGAGACAGCCCTTAATCATGTAGCAAGCTCAGGTGTTGGTGGCAATGGATTTGGTGCAACTACGGAGATGAGCCTCAAGAAACTGATTTGGGTCATCACTCGCGTACACGTTGAAGTCGATAAATACAGCTCCTGGTATGCTTAAGCTTTTTCGTTTTTCGATAATTTCTAGCCAGATTACTTGGGAGTTTCGGCTTACTAGTTATCAGCTTTTTTAAAGTATCGGTGTTGAGCATTTATGAGTGGATAAATTTTGATTGATTTTAGTAATGATTTTTAAAACTATCCAACCTATGCTTGGGAGTTAATTATCCATCGATTCTGAAAGTATTTCAAAATAATAAAATAGCATATATATCTCTTAGTAAAATTTCCAGTTTAAAGTTCCTTATACGAAAATTTTTCACTTATAAGTTATATTTTACTTATAGGTAATTTTTTTACACATAAGTTCATATTTAACTTAAAAAATTATAAAAAGTTAAATATTTACTTAAAATTTTAAGTAAATATTTTTTATTTATAAGTAAATTTTAAATTAATTTTATTCTTTTAACTAATTTTAAGTGAATTGACTTTTTATAATTTATAAATGAATTTTTATTAGTATTTTTATTTTATAAACATTTTTTTAATAAGAGTAATTTTTACTTATAAATAATTCTTAATTATAATATATCTTATAAGTATTATTTCACTTAAAAGTATTTTTTTTTAATTATAATGTAGTTTTTTTGCTTATAATAAATAATATTTTAGTTAATATATTTTTATTTACAAGTTAGTTTTGAAGAAAATAAGTTAGTTGAAAATAATTGTTTTAGAGAGTAAAATTAGAAGAGAATATAAAAAAGGTCAAAACCCATCGATTTGGTAGGTTGAAAGAAGAACAGATCAAAATTACATTACACTGATTTTGGATATTTTTTAAATCATCCAAAATTTGTGCCCCAAATAAATTAGTAAGCACCGATTTTTCCAAACCTTTCATAAATGATGCCATATAAAACCAGTCAAAATCGGTAGGAAAAAAAAACTCTCAAGCAAGTGGTGACCACCTCGTCTCAAATTTTAAGATTTTAGATTAGTTATCACTTGAATCCATTTCTTAATTTCATATATTGAAGAAGATATGCTCTATTCCGTGACCTTTACCTACTCAAGTTTTAGACGGGGCAATTTGACCTTTTACATTGTAGATGTTTCTTTCTATTTTTTTTCCTCCTAAATTTTGTTTCAATATTTATCTAATCTGATGTCGATAAATTATTTCAGGGATGATGCTGTAGAGATTGATAATAGGGTAGACGCCGCTAGGAAAAATGGAATGCGTCATGACTGGATAATTCGAGACTTCTATACTCACAAGATCATAACAAGAGCATTAGAGCAACAAGGTTCACCTTCTAAATAACAGCACAAATTCCTCAGTTTCTTCATATAAAACTCGAATTGCATATTTTGGTACTCAATACTGAACGACTCCTTCACTGTTTAGTGCTATCTAATCATCTACACCGAACTTGCCATAATATGACTACTATTTTCTTGTGCAGTATATGTGTGATCATGACTAGAAACAAGAAGATTGTGTAAAATCCCTGACGAAGTTAAAAAGGAAGTCCAGCCCTTTTACTTCAATAGAACAGCCATTGCAACAGAAGATATTGACAGCGAAAGATTGAAAAGGTCACTGATGAATTTGCAAAAAATAACCGATTTCGCGACAAAAAAATGTTGTCCCAAAAATAGAGATTTTGTGACAAAAGTATTTTAGCAAGAATAGTACATTTTTGCGGGTTTTGTCTCTCTATATGAGTCATGGAATGTGTTCTGTGACACTTTTCGACAGTTCATCGCATTAACAAAATCATGACACTATTTGTTTGACACAGAAAATACGAAATGGCGACACAATATTTGTAGTTATAATGTCGTCGCAATGTATATATGTCGCAAAAAATTTTAAGGGTAACAAGTCAGTCTATTGCAACGAATATTCCAATCAAGTTTTTACGAGAATTATGTTTGTTGCGAATATTGAGTCATCAAATATATTTTGCGACAACTTTCGATCATTCATCGCATCAACAAAATCGCAACATTATTTATTGGCCGCAAAAAATATGGAACGACAACATGATAGTTATAACTATAATGTCGTCGCAACGAGTTTATGTCACAAAAAAATAAAAGGGCGACACGACAGTTCGTTGCAATGATTATTCCAATAAAGTTTTTATGAGAAAAATATTTATTGCGAATATTCTTTTAAAGGTGTCACTTTTGCTGCCTATTTTATTTTGCAACAACACCTACTCGTAGTAATATATTTTTAATAACAAGTAATGTTTGTCGTGAAATATGTTTTACAATGTATTTGATATGTCGCATAATGTATTTTAATATATTCAATATTTGTAGTACAATATTTTATGTAACAAGACATTTGTATTTAAATTTATTTCGCAACTCAAATAGTTTGTCGTGCCATCATTTGTACAACGAGTATAGTTGTTGCCAAACTTATTTTGTAATTATTTATATACGTCACATATTTTTATTTTACGACATATAACATTATTATGCAAAGTATTTTGTGACAATGAACTTTTATTTATGTGTCAAAGTTGTGCTCGTAGCTAAATTTAGTCAGCAATACAAAGGGTTTATCACTTCAACGATGTACAAATGTCGCTTAATTGATTCTATTTTTATTTATGTATGTCAAAGATTCTATTTTAAACACATAATTTTCAATTTCTTTCGTAGCAATGGAATCGTTATTGTAGTGCACATTTATATGAAAATGTAACTTAGTTAGAAATAACTAGTGACTTTATGAAAAGCACACTTCAACTTACAATTATTAAAATATAATTGATATCAGAATAGAAAAAAAAAATCATATCACTGTCAACCAAATAAATATAAATAAAGGTATTATCTGCAAACTTGGTTACCTTCAAAATCAAAACAAGTACAAATAAACTATAGTACTAGTAATTTCAAGGTCGAGTTACTTTGAATGATTCAACAAACTTGAAAATTTAGAAAATAGAACTAGGAATGTGGAAGAAATAACAAAAAAACCCATGGGACACTCAAATAACATTCTTGATTCCAATATATGCTTCCAACTCACCATTAATATGTTCTTTGGTTAAATGAAAATTCCAATAAAGAAAGGCTCCACAAATTTAGTCTAACAATTACATATAGAAAGTAATGAAATAATAGCTTAAAGAAAATATTTCAAATATCTTGCATTGAATATTAGAACAAGATCAAAAACCATCAAAATAAGTAATCAATATATTTCATTAGCTAATTACTCTCACCTTAAATGTGAATAAAAATTCTTGTCAACTCTCGGATGATGCATCGTCAGTACTCGATTCTACAGAGGAAAAGAAAAAATGTTGATAGTCATTAAAAAATAAAATAGAATAACATTACGCCAAAAAAAAAAAACTTATATACATATAAAGAATGATTTACTTACCAATATCACTATCACCATCATATTCTTTACCATCTACAAATTTCTCATATTCAATGTAATATTCATTTAATGTATCATCTTCCTCTTCCGAAATATCATATATAACATTATTCATATTTTTATTTATTGATTCCACATCTAATTATAGTGCTTCATTTTCAATAATAACTGGATCAACATCTCCTCTATGACATACTTGATTGTCAAGATCTTCCTGCTGTATTGGCAAGACAATATTTGATGATTCATTTTCCTGAATTATTACTTGCTCACTACCACCATCATTTTTTTTTCAGGAATGTCCCATATACCTCTATGTTTTACCTTTTCCACTATCTTCCATTGTGGACCCAACAAAAGATCATCCATATAAAATACTTGTTGTGCTTGAATGCCAAGTATATATGAATCATCCATGTACCATTTACGATTCACATTGATAGAAGTAAGATGGTAATCTACAACTGTTCTTTTTTGCTTTGATTTATTATCGTACCAATTACACTGGAACAAAGTGACGCGGTAGTAAAAAAATGTATACCATCTTAATAACATCACACAGTATACCAAAAAAGTTGATGTTATCATCTCCTGGCACCATCACTCCACTACGTTGTGTTGTACGACAATCATCTCGATCTTCAACAAGGAATCGTACCCCATTACCAATACAACCTGAATAGGAAAATATTCTAATATCCGGTTTACATGCTAATGCATATAACTCTTTGCTTACAATCGAATCTTTTTTATTATTTAATCTCTTTATCTGTGTAATAAAAATATATTAATCAATATACCTCCTAATACAAATGTTATGTTGCATTAATAAATAAATAAGACACGTATTATAACTTGCATGTAAAGCAAACCATCCAGGAAACAATTCTTCCTTTTTATCCAAATTGTCATGATTTTGTTGTTGCAATAGCTCGATGTGCCCACTACAAAAGGAACATGCAAGTAAATACTACAACACATTTTAGGAATTAATAGCAAAACAATTCAAAAGTTGATTAAGAACTTACTCTAAATATTGCTAAATTTCATCACAATTATTTAGGACTTACCAATGCGCTTTATCAATTTTCTGTTTTGAAAGTAACTTTGGTTCTGTATGACCTAATAGTATAGGTGGATCGACATACCCAATGAAGAGAAAAATAAATTATATGATCGAGTTTTGGTAAGTTATAGACATTCATTTTTACAAAATTTTGTAGAATAGTTATTAGTTTCCCATATTTAAATAAATATTATACACATTTCTTTTTTGGTAGGCAAAATTCAAGCTTGATTTGACAGTTCAGCATGTCTATAAATGTGTGAACAATACTTTAGCGAGAAGATATCGAGATTATATATGTAGACTGAAAGAGAAATATTTTAGTGGAAAAATATTAGATGATGCAATGAAGAACTGTCCAATTGACATAAAGTAAGATGATTGGGACTCGTTGTGTTAATATTGGTCTACTCCTGAATTTCAGGTAATTTTTATTAAAAATATAGATACTTGTAAATATTTAGAATAACGTAATTTAGATGTTATCTTAAAATAATTAATATAATTAAAAATGATAAATTATAATGAGTTAATTATAGTTATATATAAATTTAAGTACAGGCACTATCTACACGTAATTTAGCTAGCCACAACTACATTAAATATAATTATCATGGCGGATCAAAATCATTTGTTGCACGTCTTCAAGAAAAGGTAATATTTTCTTTTCTTTTATTAAAAAAAAATAGATTTGTGTAATATGATATATGTTATTTCAAACAGAGATCAATTACTAAAGACAACGCACAAAGAGAAATATAACTTTATTATGAGACTCATTACAGTGAGAAGAAATGGTGGATAAACGATGAAGCACAAACAAGATATGTAAGTATATTAACAATTTATTCGTTGTTATTGACATTATATATATATTCTGTAATTAACATATATTTCCTCTACTTTCTCTTTAATTATATATAGGAGATGATGCTTCAAATTAGAGAGCAACTTGTTCCAGAAGGATCTGAGGCCCCACTGAACTTGAGATTATGCAAGAAGTTTTAGGAAAATCTAGAGGTTACATTAGAAGACTTGGACATGATCCAAAACCTACCTCAAACCACTCTGCTCATTTGACATCGGTTGATACTGAATCAATAGCCCTTCGCAAGCAAATACAAAGGCAAAAGCAAAACTATTGGACATGCGTGCCAGACTTTCTCAATTTGAGGCACTAATACATAAGTTCGTATCGAGTCAAGTCGATATGCCTCCACAACAAGCCGAACCAACAACAATGTTTAGCATGCCAACGCCTACTGATAATTTATGAACTATAATTTATTTATTTATTTATTTGCTTTAATTGTTGAGATAGTTATTTTCCTTTATGGATTGGTTCGAACTAGTATTTCAATTTTTTGTAAGTTATTATGTGATTGAAGATTTAATAGTCTAATGCATTCTTCTTAATTTTTTTGGGAATGAATTTTTTAAGAAATTTTATACAACTTTTTTTTTTATAAAAATTTTACTCTTGATAAGAAATAATTAAAAATTTTAAAATTTTGTATTACATATTAATTTTAGCCCGATGAAAAAACAAATACTTATTACAAAAAAAAATAACATTAGAAAAGAGTTAAGATAGCAAGCGAATAATGTTACAAAATAAAATAAAATCAACGGAGGAGGTACATCATAAAAATTTTACAGTGTACATTTGAGGATTTTTGCAACATGCATTGTATGTTGCAGTATTCTTCAACTCTATAGCAATATAAGAGTCTACAATATATGGGTGAGCATTGTAAAAAATCTACTACAATATATTTTGTATATTGTAAAAAAATTATTTTCTTGTAGCATTTTTTCCTCCAACTATAGAATTTTTAGCAATAAATATTTTTTATCGCCAAAAGGAGACCCTATTGCATCACAAGCATTTTGTCATAACTTCTCATATTTCACGACAACTTTTTATGCATCGTATATTTTTTTGTATTTATTTTTTCATCACAATCTTTGCGACAAATTTTTAAAATGTGTCGCATTAAGTCACTTATTACGACAACTTTTTGTATGTCGCAAAAAAACTTATCGCGAAATCATAGTTTTGTTGTAGTGATATATATTTAGGGGTTAATTTGATTTTAA